ATGGACTACATTTTCATACTATAATCTTGAATCTATTTTTCTAGTCTTAAGGCTTACTGAATGCATGTTCAACGCACTGCATTATTCACACATATAAAAACACATGTATACAGTGGTGACAGGACATACAGTGCCAGCTGCTTATCAAGGAACAAAAGCAACAAACAGTAAAATAAATAGTTTGAAAATAAAGCGTTGAATAAAAGATCACAGACAAAACCCAGTTCTTTTAGTAAAACCAAAATCCTCCACCAGAGAGAGCTGTTTAGTTAACCAGCATGTAAACTGTCTGGTACTTAAAAATAGTACCATTTCTACTGATTTTATACTTTTTTCTGCTACTTTATATTGAAACCTTACTACAATTTGGGGAAATATTTAGCTTTTTAAAGCTATGATTACTTAGTTACTTACTTTGGTTGAGATTTGATTCAGATTTAAAATACAGTACATGTGCATGTATGTGATATATAGTTAACAAAATATGATTGACATTTTACAGATTAAATTACACAACGTGAAAGAATTACGTGAAATGGATCTTACACATTTATGCATAAGTAATGCAACAATAATAATAATTCTAGTGATTGTTATTAAAGGTAGTTTAACATTCACAACTCAACATTATGAACCTTTTGAGATGATTTAGTTCTGTTAAAAACAAACAATACCCTATTATACTGATGCAGGTTTTAGGCTGCTTTGCATTAATGACACTTTGTTTTCTTGTGTTTCTAACAATATGCAATTGTTTTCTTACAGAATCACAACATGTCTGAAGAAGTTCTGTATTGATCCTAACATGCCATTCGCAAAGAAACAATTGGCACTTTTCGAGAAGTCACCATCTAAACATGGTTTCAATCTCAAACCATGTGAATAGAAGAATCAAACTCACATTGTGAGCCAGAGTGACTTTTAAGATAAGACAATATCAACTACTACTGCATGTTACTGAATTAATATTAAGATTTATGAGTTCTCATTTGTGTGTATGACATGTCCTAAATTAATATTTGGAAAACATTGTAAATGTATTTTTGCTACACAGTGACTGTCCCTTTTAGAATAAAATATTATTTTTGTATTTAATGTTATGATGTTATGCTGTCTTTATTTTGGAGGCCATTTGTTTAAAGCGAGACACAGAGTAACCTTCACTCTGCTCACTAAAGATGTTTTATATTCAGGCAACATATAGATACTGTTTACAAGGGGGGAACAAACACTGCAGCTTCTGTGTTGAAAGTTATTTAACATATGCAGTGGAGTTACTTTACACCACTGTTAAATAACACTACTACATACATTTAATACCTAGATTTGGATGATGTAGATTTGGATTATTGATTTAAAAAAATGAATCAACAAATATATTACTATGCATTATCATAGATTAAACTTCCCAGGAGTATTTTTGTTAACTCAAGTGCGCTCCACCTTTACCTCATTAAAGTGATGCACACATTAACACGTCACTTGTTTTAATCCAAGAATACAAGCTAAGGTATTGAATCATGCAAAGCTTTACTTGTCTAAATACACTGTGATATTGCCGCTTTTTACTTCAGTAAAAGTCTGATCACTTCTTCTTCCTCTACTGGGAATCAGGCTCTGTGTCTTGGTTGCTATGCAAATAAATGTGTGCAAATGTTTGGGAATTTCCATAATTATGTAAATGTTGAATGTAAGTCAACTTCTGTGTTGAGCTCCAGAAGAAAACCTGTTGAGGCAGAAAAACAACAGTATTTAGACAGCTGATTTCTGTCATTTAAAAAAATATTCCTTTAAAACAATCTTATAATGATAATATCAAATAATTGTTTCTCTAACAATATTTGATAAATTATAAATGTGCACACCAGTATCGATTTTTTTAAAGCTTTCAGCAATAAATGTGTTGGTCTTTTAGCTGTATTAATTAGCTTTGATGGGCTTTACAGAGGGGAGGTTTGAGCTAAATGCTAACGTTAGCAAGCTAACATGCTCACAATGACAATGCAGAGGTTTAGCACAAGTTAGTTTAGCATGTTAGCGTGCCACCATTTGATGTTTAGCACCAAAAACAAAGTGCAGATAAGGTGAGAATGAAATATTTGGTCATAGTAATATTGGAAATATCAAATAGGCCTACCTTGACTGATAATGGCAGTTTAAGTATGCATTAGTAATGATAAAGTGAATGCTTATCCTTATTCATAATAATGCATCATATATGCTGATTACATTTGTATTAATAATCAGAATCTGAAAAGTAAAGTTATTCCTTCGTAGTGAAGGAAAATATTTAAGTAGCATAACATGGAAATACTTCATATATAGGTCACATGCAAATCAATAATGTAATTTCCGTCTTACACATATGTTGGAGAAGTACTTTAAATATTGTGCTTAAAGGGGACCTATCATGCAAAATGCACTTTTGTACGTCTTTTATACATGAATATGTGTCCCCGGTGTTCCAGGGAACTCACCAAGTGTCAGAAAACACAACCCTCTCTATTTTCCTCCATACCCAAATCTCTAAAAAAGGGGCTGCAACGGATCTGATAAAAACTGATCCAGATTTGAACACTTCACTGAAGTGGCGCTACGGCTATTGTGCCAACTCTCCACCTATCAGGGGAATGTGGGGTTGGGCCACGGCCGGCCATTGCCGCTCGAAAGCACTGGAGACGCTGTAGTATATGCCAGGCCTGTAAGTGGCGCTGTAGTCTGCCACAAAAGCAGCGAAGAAGACTTCCCGCCCATAGTTACCATGGTTACCCTTCTGTTTATTCTCCGCTGTGGCTTTTTTTCTCCCTCCCCGAGGCAAGCGTTTGCTCCCGCTGCTTTAATTCAATGCAATCCCTCCCCGTCGAGGCAAGCACTGTAATTCTCTCTGGTTAGTCCACCAGCAGATGACAAACACCCACCTCTCCGCCTCTTCCAAGGATCGAGGGGACCGTGCGGTAGAGTTTCAGTTTCAGTTTCTTTCGCCGGTCAAGATGTCCGTTAAAGTTGAAATCTTCCGGACAAAATTAGAAAAGTGTCGGTCAAAGGTTTTCTTTGTTATTTATTGAGCTTTAAAACAAATGAATAACAACTCTATATAATAATATAATATAATAAAACACGGAGGACGGAGATCTTTTTTTCTCCCCCTCTTGACTTGATCAGAGCACGGCTCCCCTCTCCTGCAGGGGGGCGTGGTCAGCTGCAGCTCACAGAATCAGCCCCGTAGACAGCAAACAGCACATAGAGCGAAATGAGGCATGGCTAAAATGCATGATCTGTTTGGTATTTTGAAAACAGAAACGTATAAATATACCTTATATAGGTATGGCCCTACAATATATCATTTAAATATAGCATGATAGGTCCACTTTAAATAAAAGTAGGAGTACCTGAGTGTAGGAATACTCTGTTACAAGGAACATACCTGCAATCAAAATGTTACTTAAGTAAAAGTACAAAAGTATTAGCATCAAAATATACTTAAAGTACCAACAGTAAAAGTATTCATTATGCAGATTGGTCAATATTTTAATAATATATATGATGTGCATTCTAATTATTGATGTGTTAAATAAACTAAATGTGGTGCAGGTTTGAGGAGAAGGAAGAGGACGGTGGCAGATAAGAAAAAGTGACTGTTGGTGACTTTTCAATGTCCCCATTGTTTGTGGTTTGAGTGGACGTAATCGTGCCAGCAGCAGTGTTTGAAGAAGTTCTGTAGAGACTGAAAGAGGCTCTTCAAAAACGCTCCATCTGTCTCTCCAAACACTAACAACAGATGTCAGCGTGCGGAGGAGAGTTTGCTCCTTTTCAAATGCATCAGTGGACAAAATGTGCACACAAACTGAAGAAATGTTTTGTTTAGCATTCATTTAAATAATAATTGTGTGAGGAACGAAAATGCTAAATGTTGCATTTAATTGCCAAATCAGTTGAATGCAAGTACAGAATAATAACTGGTGTCAGAGAAAAAGTGAAAATACAATAATATCCCATAAGCTGAATCTGATCATAAGAATGTTGAAAATAAATAAATGTGCTTAGGTACTGTGCCTTCTAAATTTGAGGTATTTCACCTTGAGTATATCGATGTCCTGCAATGTTATACTTCTACTCTGATTAAGAGGTAAATATTGTACTTTTTGCTGTGATGTGAAAATCATGTATCTCCAGCTGTATTGATTTTCAATGTTTGTGATAAACCAGACTGATCGTTAAGTATTGACATACTATTTAACTATTTTAAAAGCCTTTTGGATCAGCTGAAAATGCATTATCACAAAGTAATTTTTATGGAAACCCTGAAGTGGTTCTCACAGGAATTTTTTTTAACTACAAACAAACCCTAGTAATGGATATAAATACCTCCTCCATCACTGCACAGCCCCTTAACTCTTTAAATTGTAAAGCAGAATTGATATCTGAAAAACAAACTACATTATCCTAACATGCATGCAATACATTTCTGGGTTGTTTTTTTGTTGAGTTGGAGCTGTATTGAGTGGGTACATGATATGACAGACATTCCTGCCAATCGCTTTCACACCATTCCACTGATCAGGTGTTGGTTGGATGCCAAGATACGCAGCAATGTGCCAACAACGACAAAGAAGAAGTCTGCAAGCTAATAAACATGGATGTAAACAAAGCAGATATCCAACTTCTTAGAAACATTAGCTTTACACTGAATTTAAACATACATTTTGATTTACAATTCACACTATAATGAGCAGAGAATAGGGACGGATAGATTTTGTGGAATTTTCCTTCAGATGACATATTGTTTCATTCACTACCGGCTAACTTCAAGATTAACATTACACTTTCTTTCTAACCATGTATTTTGATCTAAAGATGATCGGTCCTTATCAGAAGGTAATAGCTATTTTTCCAAAGTTAACCGGTGCTACATGGTAAGGAGTTACAGTATGGTTTCTTTGTCAAATACAGCTTACATCACTTTGATGAAGAGGGAACACACCATTCATACTCTCAGGCAGTTAAAACAAAAGCATAAGAGTTTATTGTGATTTTAAAAGTGTCTGGAAGTTAGACAAACAGCGAGGCAAGAGACAAGAATCTCTACATTAAACGTCCAATACATACAAGTCTTAAACATTGCTTCCCATCATATTCCACAGCATTTAAGAATATTTTAATACTACTTTCAGGCAGCAAATTGATATCCTCTGAAAAATCTACTGACTAAGACATGACACTTGTGCTGTGTTATCTATCACAGTGAAGATTTTGGTCACGATTAGTTGTTTGTATTGAAATCATTGTCCCTTAATAATACAGCTTGATAGTGCCTTTAAGGACCTTCCAACACCTGAATTAGAGTTGGTAAAAAGTGTGATCATAAAAATAAAAAAACAAAACAAAACAAAACATGCAAGCAATGAGGTTATTAGCTGGATAAAGTGTATTTAGTTGTCTCTCATCTCTGCTTCTATTGAATTTGAAAAAAGTGACTGTTGAATTAAAAAATCTCAGAAAATATGCACAATTAATTAACCTTAGGCTATATTATGAAGGAATGTGCAGCAGAAGACAATTTAACATGTTGTCTTCGCCAGCTTAATTGTTACCTAATAAACAAATTAAGCAAAGCAATAGATTCCCTTTCATGTCAGCATTTACAGTTGAACGTGCTTGTTTCCTTATTACAGGCGATGAAAGAAACTATAAAGGTTTTAGCCAGCTAACCACAGTTTGTTTCACGATTGTATTAACACTAAGGTTAGCAGCAGTAATCTGCAATAATATCTGAATGAAGTAGCCATTCGTTTCTATGCCACCCTGGTACAATTAAAGGAGTTCTTGTTGTTAGTTTTATCATTCTGTTAATTTTCCGCCACCACAACTGGACCCAGATGAGTATTGCTAGCTAGAACCTCTCATTTTCTTTTTTTAAATAACGTGAATGAAAACTAACATCAAGTAGGAATTAGTGCTAAGGTTAGCAGGCTAAGCTAACAAGCGTCCTGAATACGATTGTAACAGTACAAAGCTCCAATGATTTTTTAAAGGGATAGTATAACATTTTCTAATGACTGACCGCTAAAGCTAAGTGAAAAAGCCTTGTGTCAACGTATGGTTAAACAGCATGAGTGCACGAGTGCATATATATATATATATATATATAAATATATATTTAAATAATTTGCACGATAGTTGACGTAAGATAAAAGTCTATATTTGCATACACAGAAAGCTAGGGTAAAGTGTTTATGTATGGTATTTGCTGCTATAAAAGAATGCTTAATAATCTGATAAGTACTAGATAGTTTGTTTGAAGTGCCAAGTATTAAAGCATGAATCATGAATAGGAACAGACAAGAAGTGTAATACACTGCCCACAATATAACAGTCCTTTAGAGTCTAAATGTTCTTATAGAGTAGGTTGTCAAGTGTCACCATTTTTAACACATAATTACCGAATGAAAGAGTCTGATTGCTCTCTTCCTGGTCAAACTAAAAAGCTGTTGCTGGAAGTGTGGATTGGTGACTCCTACTTAACATCCCTCCGTCATTTCCCTCCTTCAACACAGACGTAAACTCATCTGGTGCCAACTCCATTTTGGACAAACTCTCCTCTGTCTCAGCAGCTATTTCCTCGCCTCTCTCCTCTTTCCACAGTCGCTCGTACTCCTGCTTCAGCTCCTGATATGAGCGGGAGAAGGTGTGGAAGATGGAGGTGGCAGGGAACGCCATGATAAGGATGCCGCTCAGGATGCTTGTGAGTGCGACTATCTGTCCAGGGATGCTGCGTGGCACCATGTCGCCGTACCCCACCGTGGTCATAGAGATGATGGCCCACCAGTAGGAGGCCGGTATGCTGCTGAAGCTGTGTTGAGGGTACGTGGCGGCAAATGGCGCCAGCTCACTCTCTGCTAGATGAACCAGAGGTGAGAACAGGGTCACGGCCACGCAGACAAACAGCAGCAGCAGGCTGAATTCCCTAATGCTGCGCTGCATGGTTAGCCCTAATGTCTGCAGGCCCAAAGAGTGGCGAGCCAGCCGCATCACGTACAGGATCCTCAGCGCCCGCAGCAGGCGCAGGATCAGACTCAGTTTGTCCAGGTAACCTCTGCTACCTGCACGCATGATGACATCCTCCTCGGACACATCTCTGACATCAACAACCAGGGAGACATAGTAGGGCAGGATGGCAATGGCATCGATGATGTTTAGGGGTCCACGAATGAAGTTTAGCTTGCTCTGAGCATTGGAGAATCGAATCACAAACTCCAAAGTGAACCACGCCACACAGATGGACTCCACCACAAACATGCTCTGACACTTCTGGGAGCACTCGCCCTGCAGAAACAGAGACGAACTTTGACAAGAAGACACTGGGAAACGTAAAAGGGTCACCACCAAAGTCACACATCAAGTCAAATCTATGCACTTTTTAGGTTACGGTAAAATACACTGCTGATGAAAAGAGCATTAAACACCTTTAATTGCCCAGGTTTTTGTCCCTTGAAAATAGTCTTTAAAATTGTAACTTTTAGTTTTACTTTTGACCCAACTTTTTAGCAATCGTTTGAGTGGGAGAAAAAAATCTATTGATAATTTCAGTGAGACTTTGGAAGCAGACTGAAAGATAGCAGGGAACAAGAAAACAAGACTTTCTAATGAGGAATGCTTGTATCAATGACTTGATCTATAGTTTTTTGAGTGCAAATAATGAGCCTCTTTCTATTTCCTGACAAGAGAAACAAGGAGGGTTACGTTTCATTCAATAGTTTTAATCAAGAGTTCTTTCGCAAATGGTATACAACTCAAAAACTGTGTTAATTATTTGTGAAGAAAGTTGTATTAAGAAAAAGATAAATAAGAGCCTAGCAATAGCTAATGTCATTAGGCATATCAGGCCTCAAAGGTCTAGGCTCGTATCTTTTTAAGCACATCTGATATTGCAGTTGCTGCTTGTCTAGTTCTTATTGATGTCAAGGGGCCATTGTTATATAAATTACCACAACCTTCACAACATTTTTCTTCTTTGACAAGTACACATTCAGCTCTATGTCATTTTTATCACCACCTGTCAAGCAAATTGTCTAAAGCAAGTTTAAACATATGGCTCACATTGTAGGTGTCTGCCAGGCTCCAATGTAAAAACAACACTGCTTTCCAGAAATTAAAAGGAATCTTGGCTTGGAAACACAACCCCAGATGATTGTTTATTCCAACTATCATCAATTCACTATGTATAAAAAGCAAGTTTCAGCTTGAACAAAACATTATTTAATTTGTCTGAGTCTTGATTTGTGTGATTGATTGTAGGCCTCATCAGGGAGAAATCAATCTACCGTCTGCAGCTTAATCAAATAGCTAATTCAGTCCCTTCAGAATGACAGTTATACAATCAATTCTACAGCCTGTGTGCTTCTGTTGACTCAAACACAAATCAGAAATCTGTGATTTAACAGTCACATTGGCAAAAGACATTTCTCAACAACTCTTCGCCCCACGCTTAAGGTTTACAAAAATCCCTTACTTTGATTATCAATCTTACCTGTATTTTTTCTATTAAAACTGTCTCCCATTAATCAAACTATTTCATACATTTATATATATTTTTAAGTACAAATTACATTTTACATTATTATGTTTTTATTTTGTATTTATTCCATTATAGTGAGATTGCCAATGTGATGTTTATGTTAATGTGACTTGGGTGACTATTCAAAAATGCAACAACATGTTTCAAATGGGCATTAATTATAATTTTGTTGGCCTCCCTTAAAAACAACATTAAGCCAACCTAATAAAGATCTTATGACAAATGTGTCATTATAAATGTTCCTCCTAAACATTCTAACAATGTCTGTTGTAGGTGCTTATCAGTGTTTGTATTAAGCTAAAAATACAACACTGGTTGGAGTGAATGAAAACAGTAAAGCTGGACAGAAAAACAATGAGCTTAAAGCCACTGAAATATATGAATACACACGCTGAGGGTCTGCAGAGTTCATTCTTACAAGTATAACTCAGTAATCCGATACATTATTGAGATATCATTATTCATGAGTGCAGCTTTAAGGTTGGATCAAACATTTCTTAAGACAATATAATCCTCACAGACTGTGTTTTGGTTCATTGGATAAAAGTGAGCAACAAGAATTTATTTGTAAGTCATGCATTAGGCTAGCAATACTTAATTATATAGTTTGTACCATTAGTGTGATTAGTGTTAACACGTAATCATTAGTAACACTAGATGATTATTTTTGTTGTGATGTGCTGATAAGTAACCAGGGCTGAGTAGTACATTTCATTGACACAAAACATCTAATAGTTCTCACTCTGTGGTTTTAATAGATTTAATACGCACCCTGGACTCTTCATCTCTGAGGTCTGGCATGGTGCTGATGCACAGGCTGATGACAGTGACCAGCACCATGACGACAGAGAGGCAGGCGAATATCTTCCCAGCCAACCCAGACTGAGGGTTTTCCACCACTTCTCGCAGTATCCAGGTCAGTTTGTGATGGCCCTTTTGTACCTCTGTAGCGCTTTTCTTCAGCATCACCCTCTTCTGCCTCCACTCCTCTTCCTTGCGCTCTCGCTCGACCACCTCCTCCACACGGGTAATCATGCGGCGACGGCAACAACGCTCCATATGGCCTGGGTCCACACCCCAGTAGTCAAGCTCATCGTGGAGGGACACTGCACACAGTTCTCGAAGCAAACGGAGTTTCCCTGCAGCAAGGAAGTTGAGGATGACCCTGAAGGCTGTTGGGTTTCGGTCAAAGAAGTACTCCTGGCACGTCTCGTCATAGTCGTCGCAGAGTCGTGCAATGTCCTCCGGGGTGGTACATGACCGCAGACGTCCAAGACGACTTTGTGGGAACTGCTCCAAGGTGCTCCAGGGAAATGTGTAGCGATTTCCTCCCACATTGATAAGAACCTGCAGGGTGTGGTCGACCACATACGAAGCTTTGGGGTCACGAAGCAGCTGGGCTCGCTGGAAGTAAACACCCTTGATAGTTTCAGTCTCTGGGATCTCAGTAAAAAAGCGGTCGAGGCTGCTGTCATCGCTGCTAATGGAGAAAGTGCTAAAGTCGTGGTTGGCATTACTGATTATAGGCATGTTGGCTTCAGGATGTGTGACGGGATGGAGCAAGTATTTGTATCTCCAGTTCACGGATGGTTAGAAGGATGATCCACAGAGAAGCTGTAAAAAAGAAGAAAGGTTAAATACAAAGTAATTTGTTCTTATATCAAGTCCTTATGGATATTTATTTTAATAAAATAACAAACTTTTTTCAAAGCCTCAAACTAACATTTTATTTATGGAGTACCGCAAGATTATGTCCTTGGTCTCCTGCTTTTCAGTATGTTTCCAATCTGGGCCATCATTCATTGACTTTCATCAATATGCAGATGACATTAACTTTATATAGCTGTTGATCCCCCAGACCACCATGTAAACGACATTTGATTTGACCCATAAGTTTCCTCTCGCTAAACCAGGACAACGGATTGATCTTATCAGTTTTACACAGGCAGGGGAATTCTGTTGATTGAATAATGTATTAATTAGCTCATTAAATAAGAACAAAATGTGCTCTTCTAATATTTCAGTAATGTGGGTTAGGAAAAAGCGAAAAGAAATGCTGGTAAAAAAAACATCACAGCACTCCACTTTTAGCCCTGACACCCTTTCCTGTCGTCTTCACACCAATGCATGCCTTGATTCATGACAACCCTCACATGGCTGCTGAGTGACCTTAAAAGAATATCTCAAGCTCGGTGTGAAAAGTGGTGTAAACAAGCCAGAGAGGCCACCATTTCTTATGTCGACAAGGCCTACAGTGTACAAAAATGTAGCTCATTTGACTACAGTTTTAACAGTATTTTTAATGGTTATACATATCTGCTTGGATGCAAAAACATTATGTCTAACTGACCCTAGTGGTATTTAGCTATGCAGGTGGCTTTGGTTTTGGTTTGACCTTACTGTTAACAGTTTTCATTGGAACTCATTTCTACCAAAGAGATATTCCATTGATTACTGTTTAAAGCATTTTCTGTGGATAATTATGGAGTTAAATACAATTATTCTGATTCTAGAAAGGGATGGGTGTGATTGTGAGTTCCAGTGTTTCTATATTTTCAATCTAATTTAAAGATACTGACAGCAAAACGGAATGCACATACTATACACAATAACAGTATTTCTGTAGTTTCCAGCTCTCCTGCATGGACGTCAGGAATTGAAAGCCCAGAGAGAGATGTTGCTGTTTCAAATGTTATTTTCCAATGCTTTTAGAGCCACAAAATAAATGCCAATTGTAACATTTGGCATTGAGGCAGTCATCTCAGGAATGGTTGTATGAAACCTTGACTAATAAATATGCAATCTACATGGCTGGATTTTTTTTGCTGAAATGTTTTTGAAGCTTGTATGCTGCAACTTGTGTTGATAAGAAAGAATCCTAAGCGAAATGCTATTACAAGTGCACTATCAAACATTTTGCACATGACGGAGCTATATTTAGTCTACATCATCAACTGTAATGCCTGGTTAGGTTACCCTTGAAAGCTTTATGATACAACGCTGACTGTCAATTTGTTGAGACAAACCAAGTGCACTAAGTACATGAGTATAATTTTGAAGTTGAGTATTTAACTTTAACTCCAATTCCATTGCCAAATACATTTGTGTATTTTGGAATAATAACTTATTATATTTTTTTATGGAATAATTATTTTCCCCATTTATCGATTGATTGTTAGGTTTGCATTTAGTGAGAAATAGTGTTAGACAAAGCCAATGTGACAACTTTAAAGTGTTTGTTTTGTTCAACCAACATCAACAACCCTATCCTCAACATTAATACACAATTGTAAAAAGCCAAAGCGAAAAATCTTCACGAATCATGATAAACACCACTTTTGGTCAGGATGAAATCCAATGGAAAAACATGTACCACTGGAAAGCAGAGTAAAGTCTTTACTCTGATGTTTGAATGAATTAGAAACACAAATTAGCTGCAGGTCATTTTGGGGAACACCTGTTATTTAACTAATCGCGTGCTAAAGTTACACAACAAAATAGTATTATGTTCTGGCTTCTAATATAGCATTCAAAATAAAACGGTAGTATTCACTCACCTTACAGTGCGCAGGTGTTCTGCCTCAGTCTCTGTTATTTGTCCCATGCATGTTTTCATCTGTTGCTATACACTGTACCAAAGAGGCTCCTCATTAATTAAGACATACTTGTTGTATATTTGCTCAAACTGTAGATCAAACCAGACCTCCGCTCAGCAGAATAAGTATTATTACAGTTTATAGATCCGCTCTGAAGTTTGCAGGCTTGCCGTGTGTCTGTGTAGCCTCCCCGGTGTGCACACGTCGCCTCAGCTCCGGAGTTGGATTAAATTACATTAAAATGATTTGCCTGTCCACAGATCATCGCTCCGCTTCCATTGGTCACCGCCGCTCGCGAGGAGAGAGTAAATGCGATTATCTAACGGCGGTGGCCTCCCTAAACCAGCAGGACCATCCTCCTCCTCCTCCTCCTCCTCCTCCGCTTCCTCCCCCCCCCCCACCTCTTTCACCCGCCTCCCCTCCCTCCACCACCCTGCTATCTCCAGCTCTCTCTTCTTCTACACTGTAAAAAACATGTTAAGGCGATTCAACTCAGAGTATGGGAAGCTAGTTAGATAGGCTATTACCAGAGATGGGAGATATACTCAAATGTTCTACTTAGGTAAAAGTAGACATTTCAGAGTGCAGGAATACTCTGTACAAGTCCTTTATTCAAGACATTACTCAAGTGAAAGTACAAAAGTATTAGCATCAAAATATTCTTAAAGTTTCAAAAGTAAAAGTACTCATTATGCAGATTGGTCCATTTCAGAATAATATATATAATATGTTTTGGTTATAAACATTAATGTGTTGATGTGTTTATCCTGCTGGTAAAGTTGGAACTCATTTCAGTTTATTGTGAATTTAATCCAGGTGTATCTAAAGTATTTCTAAGGGTTAGGGTTCGGGTTGCTGATCCTATTGTTTATCATTAATCACTATCTACAAAGTAACTTAAAGGTATGTAATTTATTTCAGAAACACTTTTTCTTATATTCCATGGAATGCTCTTAACATCCCGATAGCAATGAATACATTAAATGCTTTGACAATAAATACATTAAAAAAATTCATCTGTGGAAGCCGTAGCGCTGTAAAAAGCACGACCAATTATTTTAGCCGGCCCGGCTAAAATAACTGGATGGCCTACCTGCCTGTCAGCCTTCCATCTGTGCACAAACTTATCTCGTGCCCTCATTGGTCATGTGCGCGTTTGTGTGTGTTGGAGGAGGGGCTCTGTAAGGAAGTCTGAAGGAAGAGGCAGATTTTTTCCGGTTGTGTACTTTCAAATTCTAGCGCACTCGAGCTGGTTTCTCCACAATTGCATACCCCACCTTTAAGGTACTACATCAATGTAGTGGAGTAAAATCACAATATTTACCTCTGAACTGTATAGTAGAAGTACAAAGAAGCATACAATGGAAATACTCAAGTAAAGTTCAAGTACCTCAAAATTAATAGAGTAAATCTACTTAGTTACTTTACACTACTGGATATTACACTGTGTAAAGATTGCAGTCCCAGTTTGTATAAGTACAAGCCATTCAGGGTGCGGTTGAAGAAATAGGCCTACTGAGATATTTTACTTAGACTAAGACCCTAGCCACACGGAGACGGTAACGAAAACAAACCGAATTCGATATCAAAAAAGTCTTCCGTCCACACGCAATCGCCACCAGAAACGTGTCCGTCCACACGAGACCGCTCGACCCGCTGGAGACGCTGTAGTACATATGCCGGGCCTGTAAGTGGCGCTGTACTTCCGTCACAAAATACACCAAAAGCAGCGAAGAAGACTTCACGAGCATGCATGGTTGCCATGGTTGCCTTTCTGTTTATTCTCCGCGGTGGATTTAGCAGCAGAGGTGGGGAGAGGCAGCCAGGCAAGGGGCCAGGCTCTGGCTCTTTTTCTCCCTCCCCCCGAGGCAAGCGTGTGCTCCTGCTGTAAATCTCCCCGGTAGTCCACCAGCAGATGAAAAACACCCACCTCTACGCCTCTTTCAAGGGACGAGGGAACCGTGCGGCAGAGTTTCCGCCAGTCAACATGTCCGTTAAAGTTTAAATCTTCCGGACAAAATTATAAAAGTGCCGGTCAAAGGTCTTCTTTGTTATTTATTGAGCTTTAAAACGAATAACGACTCTATATAATAATATAAGAATAATATATGGAGTCTCTCTTTTCCTCCCCCTCTCCTGACAGCCCGTCAGTATTTTCGCTATCAGGAAATGATCGTATAGGGCGTAATCACGGAGCCGTTTGGCCCCCCAGAGCGTTGCGTCCGCAGATCTACCCACCTTGGGACCCGTTATCGTTATCGTTATCGTTATCGTTATCGTTATCATTATCGTTATCATTATCGTTATCGTTTCTGCGTTTCCCTGTCGGCCTTGTGTGGCCGAACCGTCTATATGATAGAGAACTGTAGCGGATACGACCCGTATCGTCTCTGTGTGGCTGCAGCCTAAATGCAGGTATCAGTTACCCCCTTGTAATAATACTCCATAGAAAAAGGTATGCAGGAAATGATCGTAAAAGTTCTCTGTTCTTTTACTTAAGTAAAAATTAGCAGAAGTACTCAAATATTTTACTTACTTTGAGTTAAAGGTGGGGTAGGTAAGTTTGAGAAACCGGCTCGAGATACACTTTTTGTTATATTCCATGGAATGCTCTTAACATCCCGATAGCAATGAATATATATATCAAAGTGCTTTGACAAAAATTCCATAAAAAAATGTCATCTGTGGAAGCCGTAGTACTGTAAAAAGCACGACCAATCATTTTAGCCGGCCCGGCTAAAATAACTGGATGGCCTACCTGCCTGTCAGCCTTCCATCTGTGCACAAACTTATCTCGTGCCCTCATTAGTCATGTGCGCGTTCGTGTGTGTTGGAGGAGGGGCTCTGTAAGGAAGTGGCAGATTTTTTCCGGCTGTGTATTTTCAAATTCTTGTGCACTCGAGCTGGTTTCTCCAAAATTACCTACCCCACCTTTAAAGTAGCACAATAACATCAATAAAGGTAGCAGAAGTATTCAGATTAAGTCTTAGTTTGAATTCATCAGTACAATTTATGTTATTGATCAGACACCAATGTTTTACATCGGAAAGGGACGGAAAACAACAAATGTTCATTGTGGTAGAAACAAACTTTTGATGTACTTTTACCTTAGCTTAGTTTTTCCATATTCTGCTACTTTAAACTTATAATTGATTACATTGCCAATGGAAATATTGTACTCATTTTTGATGCCTTATAGTAATAGGAATGTGTTACTCGCAAGGGGGAAATTAATTGGCTAATATATATAAAATATTAATAAATTCATTCATATTAGCTCAACCTTTAGCAATTGCAACGTTGACACATTATTGCCTCACTAATTATGATCTAATAATATAATATATTATTCTGAAGTGGACCATTCTGCCAAATGGGTACTCTTTTGGTACCTAAAGTATATTCTGATGCAAATATATGCAGGACTTTTACATGTAAGGAAATATTTCCAGCTGGGGTATGGTTAAAGTGGACCTATCATGCTATATTTGAATAATATATTGTAGGGCCATACCTATATAAAACATGTCTGTGAAGTTTTTTTTTCAAAATACCAAACAGATCATGCATTTTAGCCATGCCTCATTTCGCTCTATTTGCTATTTTCCAGCCCTGTTTTTGCAAGGGCTGATTCTGTGAGAAGTCTTCTTCGCTGCTTTTGTGGCAGACTATAGCGCCACTTACAGGCCTGGCATATGTACTACAGCGTCTCCAGCGCTTTCGAGCGGCAATGGCCGTGGCCGTGGCCCAACCCCCCATTCCCCTGATAGGTGGAGAGTTGCCCATATAGGCGGAGCACCCCTTTTCTGACGTCAGAACAATTTCAAATATGTATCAGCTCCGTTGCAGCCCCGTTTTTAGAGATTTGGGTATCGAGGAAAAGAGAGAGGGTTGTGTTTTCTGACACTTGGTGAGTTCCCTGACACACCGGGGACACATATTCATGTATAAAAGACGTACAAAAGTGCATTTTGCATGATAGGTCCCCTTTAAGTTAACTCAAGTAAGATACAGTGTCTAAATACTTCACAATTGATTGTTATTATTTCTAAAGTTTTACCATTTATCTATGGTATTTAGATTTTTGCACTGTGGTATCTGTATTGACCAATACCATTTATACAATTTGTAACTATAATAATTGATAAAGTATTGTGAGATAAACAAGTGTCAATTTATTCAATTCAGTTAATAAAATCTGAAAAAATCTGATTCCTTAAAGCAAAGCTCAACAATGTTTTTGTTTTTTGTGTGCCTATTTTACAGTGCAAGGCTCCATGTCCATGCTTGATCATGACTCTTCAGTACAGACTGGACTTTGCTGTAAAGCCTTTGTTTAAATGCAGCTAAAGCCTGATTGACACAAGTTGTCCCGGCAGATGTCCAAACACAGAGAGGATTAATAAAAAGGAACAACAGGAGATAAAACACAGAGCCTCTGTGTGTGTGTGTGTATGTGTGTGTGTGTGTGTGTGTGTGTGTGTGTGTGTGTGTGTGTGTGTGTGTGTGTGTGTGTGTGTGTGTGTGTGTGTGTGTGTGTGTGTGTGTGTGTGTGTGTGTGTGTGTGTGTGTGTGTGTGTGAGAGGCTATCTTTTATGCCATTTATGATTCGCATTGCTTGCATGTTTTTCTTTTGAAGCAGATCTGATAATCGGTATATCAGCCGGTGTGACAGAGGCATGTTGCTCTGATACATGTAACTATTATTAAATACATATTCAGTGGGATTCTTCTTCTGAGGATTTGATTTCCTGTTTATATTGTGCATAGGGAGTGGATTTCACAAACATTTACTGTGTGTGTAAATGTGTGTTCGTGTGGCTGTTCTGTCTTGTTTGACTAATTGTGGTTATGTTTCCATGGTTACTAATTGGTCCTCAAGACATTGCTCTTGAGGTGAAGATGATTTGGAGTACGGTAGGGCTTTTTTTTCTTTAAACTTAAAGTGCATTTGTTATGCGTATTTGCCTCAGTCTCTCATGAGCCTAAAAGAATAAAGATTATTTTGTCTTGCATTCAAAATCCTACTTAAGTAAGAGGGCAGAATTATTATCTGCCAATTTACTTAAAGGACCGAAAGTAAAAGTAGTCATTCTGTAGAAAAGTGGCTCATGTGAGTGTTATTACATTTTAATGAGTGTTATAACATCAGAGGTGGAAGAAGTACTCTTGTACTTCAGTAAAAGTAGAGTGTAGGAATACTCTGTTACAAGTAAAAGTCCTGCTTTCAGAAATGTTACTGTTAA